GTATGGACGAACAATGGGTAGCAGACCTGATCGAAGTGATCAACATTGCCAAATCCAATCGCGGTTACAGGTATCTGTTGACAGTGGTCGACGTGTTTTCCAAGTACGCCTGGGTTGAACCCGTCAAGACCAAAAGTGGTCAAGACGTGACGATCGCCTTTGAGAAGATTTTGAAACGAAGTCAAGGTCGACAACCTCAGAATCTTTAAGCGGACGACGGCAAATAATTTTACAACAAATACTTCCAAGCCTTGATCAAAAAGAAAAACATTCCTCATTTCTCTACCAGTGGAGACACCAAAGCCAGCGTCGTAGAACGATTCAATCGCACCTCGAAAGAAAGAATGCATCGATATTTTACATTCAAGAATACGTTGACGTTCTTACCCGTGCTGCAGGACTTGGTCGTGGGTTACAATCGATCGTATCATCGCAGCATCAAGATGGTCCCCGACAAAGTGACTGCAAGTAATCAGCAAGAAGTGTGCAACAACTTGTACGCCAAACGTTTGAACGCCAAGCATTTCAAGCCAAAGTTTAAAGTAAATGATCGCGTGAGACTCAATAAGAAGTTTAGAACTTTTAAGAAAGGTTACCTACCGGGCTGGACGGAAGAAGTGTTTACAGTATCCAGAGTCATCCCTGGAAGTGTGGTCATTTACAAAATCAAAGAGATGGATGACACACCTTCGGAAGGTACCTTTTATTCTCAAGACTTACAGAAAGTCGCCGTATCGGACGACGATTTGTGCCGCGTGGAAAAAGTGCTGAAACGAAAAGGGAATAAATTGCTTGTACGTTGGAAAGGTTGGTCAGATAAATACGACAGTTGGATTGACAAGAAGGACGTGAAAAAGCTTTGAGGATGAATAAGGAGTTTTACATCACCTTGCCTAGTCACAGCAACCACGCAGAGTTTCCACAGAACCAAAGCAATCATTTCAAGATTCGATTACCCCACCCCATCAGGCTGCAAGGGTCGAGTTGGAAAGTGGGATTGATTAGCATCTCGTTACCAGATGTGAAAGTGCGTCTCCCCAGTTTGGTCGACGGTAACAACATCCTGTTTACCATGGACTGGATCATGAAACACTCTTCTGGTGCGTTAAAGTTTGGTAGAGCTCACTATGACCCTAACGATCTCCGAACAGAGGTTGAATATATTGATGGTGTCGGTTTCATGAAAAGTATGGTGACATTTTTCGAGCAGCGGCGCATCTTAAATTACCAAGGACCCCATCTCGGTAGCAGCTATACAGCATCCGATGGAAAGAGAATGTACGTGAAATTTCGTTGGGATGGAGACGATCTGCTGACGGATAACAAAGCGACACATGTACGCTCCAGTGACTCACCAGCATCGAAGATCAATAAGATGTTGGCCTTAAAGATGGGATGGTTGTAGGAGATACGCCCTTAAAACTATGACTCGGGACCCAATTTATGTCAAGAGTTTTTTACAGACACGGTACACAACTTAGAAACGATGACACACGATCTGAAAAACGACAGGGGTGAAAACGTGGTGGGTTCGACATCACGTTCCTTGTTCATCTATTCCGACGTGGGAGGAAGTTCAATGGTTGGAAATCAGGTCACGGATCTATTGCGAGAGGTCAATTATCGACGCACAGGGGATGGAAGTCACTATTTTAAACCGCTCCACGTTCAATATATTGCGCAAGGCTCAGTTGGACATTACTGAGGCGCAAGTGTCAGAGGCAACAGGTGAACTGACCGAAGTTGTTGAAGGAAACACGATTCTCACCCTTCACTTCAAACGAGCATCAAAGGTGGAAGTTTAACGCGATTCAAACCTGACCCACAAGACGGAGATGGTTTCGTTCAAGAGCTGCGGAAAGCGAGTATCAGGGGAAGTCTGAAAGGGTTAAAAAGCGGTCGCGGCGTTCGAGATCGCATTCGAGAGGCGAAAGAGGGTGCAACACGGAGCGCTAAACAAGCAGTGAAACGTAAAGCTTACGAAGTCCTAGATAGAAGTTTCTTTGAGATTGAGTTGGCACTCAAACTGGCGAATGGTGATAACGTTGTGGAGGCCACGAGACTCTAGCCGACAAACAATTTGGCCCATACTTTGTTCAAACAGATCAGAGTGAGACTCAACGGTACCTTGATCAGTCCTCAAACCGACACCTATCATTACAAAGCATACCTGGAAACATTGTTCAACTACAACAGAGAGATGTAGAAACAGTGCTAAAACCTCAAGGTTGGTACAATGCCCTGGACTTTTCAACGCCATTGACTGTAAATAACATAAACACGGAAGGAGACGGACATGAGGCTTTCCAAGCATTGTCCTCTAACCAACAAGCTTCAGCGCAACTCATGAAAGCAGAACAAGGCAATTACACGGATAGAAAGCGACACGTCCTAAAGGTTCACACCCCACATCGAGGTGTTTCACTTGAACAAATTGTTGGTACCTGGCGTGCAGATTGGAATCCAGATGTACTTCAATTCTCCCAATTTGTTCCTGAATGGTGTGAATGTGACTGGCAGATTGACGCACGAAGAGGTCAAAGTGAGAATGTACCTGTGTCAAGTAAGGCGGGTGTTGGACATGTTCACCAAACGTTCTCACCGTCAGAACGTCACAGTGTTCTACTTGTGCCAAGACATGTTTACGCCAGGAAATGTGCCAAGAGTATTTCCAGAAATGCCCACTACATCGTTGCCTTCAAGAATCCACGAGATATATTAGGCATGAGAAATTTATTGTTACAGGCGTTTCCTACTCAATAGCAAGTTTTACAGACACATTCCAACGTTTAACAGAACGTCCGTTTGGATACATGGTCTTGGATTTACAGCCTGCCAGTTTGGACGATCAAAGAATTCTCAGCCACCTTTTAAAGGACGAAGGATGTATGCGATGTCACAAATTCATCGAGACATCATGATGAGTCCTTCCCAAGATTCAATCACTACCGTATTTCTAATGAACGGATTCAAGAAAAGCGCCCAGTTGGTAAACAAAGATTTGCTGTACCGATTGGATGGGTCGTTTGCCTTTTACCACCGTCAGTGGTGGCGTCATCGCCAGATGTTTTACCACTTTAAGTGGTGTCACGGTTGTCTGAACGCTTTGGCATTCATCATCGTGGCAGCAGGCTAGGCATCGTCGTAGGATCCGTCTTGGAAAACAGTCTCCTGATTGCCTGTTTATCCGCCGCTGGAACTGTGATTAAGGGGTGGAACGTCTTCAAAAAGTTTTCGTTCAAAATCGACATGTGTCGCTTTGCCTACACCACTTACGACAAAGCTTTGATCGAATTGAGAACCTACGTGCGAGGAATTCCGATGGAGGAGTTTGACGGATTCTTGATCAAGATGCAAACCTTGGATGACACAATCACTGATTTTACACCCCCTGTATCTGACAAGTGCGTGCAAGAATACGAACAACGATTTCGTTACGACCACGTCGATAAAAGCGGGAGCACTTACGTGTGACTGTTAGTATGTGTCATGAAGAGCACACGAACAGTTCGTAGAAAAACCAAGGAGACGAAGGAAGGCACAAAAATGGGGATTGTTACCATTGGCAGCTCTCGTTCCAGTTTTAGTAGCAGCAGGGAAGGCGGTGGCTCTAGGAGGAATCTCTGTTGCAGCTGGTTACGGTGTGAAAAAGGGTTTGGAAGCTGCTTCGCGTAAACGTCGACGATTAAAAATAAACCATAGACCAAGAAAAGAAGTAAACAGCGAGGTGGAGCACTGGCACAACATAAACATCGATTGATAGACAAGAGCGCCGAAGGAGCCAGTATGTTCTTATCGGAACCCTCACCTATCTTTGCTACGCTGGCATTGAAATTAGCGGGTCAGGCAGCAAAAGGAATATGAATCACTACAACAAGAGACAACGTGGAGGTGCACTGTTTACTGTTCTCAAGAATCACAGGACGAAATCACATGTTTCCGTATTTCTGAAACGTGGCGGAAACATGCAACTCCATGTTTCCGTTACGTTTACGTCTTGCAGAAACGTGAAAATTCAAGTCTACGTGATTCCGTCACGTTTCCGGGACGGAAATGCCAAGTCACGTTTCCGTCAGATTTAAGCTAGAAGATTTCCGCCATTGTTCGTTTCCGTCATGTTGCTGCAAACGGATTTGCAGTTGTTCGGTGCATCTACCAAAACGCAAACGCGAGATGGTTCTCTGAACAACAATGAATCTTAACATTTTAACCAGTAGGAGACGAACTACAGCTGCAGCCGCAGGAAGTACCTCACCTTACACTTCGTAATATGACAAATATAAGGTGGTATGAGGAGTCCGTGTAAGGACTCTTAATGTATAACGACTGTGCAATCATCAGTATACGTTTGCTCCCTTATTTTTATGTATACTAGTTCTTACACATAACCGTACACAAAGTGTCAGGGCAATCTTATATATATCCCCTTAACCCAGTAATCCAACTGAATTTTTTACCTTTGCTCTTTATACACTACTGAATATAGTTTTCATCTAAAACTATTCCTGGTGCGTAACTTTCCAAATGTTTCTGTCAGGAAGCGATTCGAGCCGGTTCGAAGCCAGTTGAGCTGGTTGGCCCAAATGAGACAGTTCTGTGAATTGATCTGGTTGGGCGAAATGAGACAGTTGTGTCATTTAATCCAGTTGGGCCAAATGAGACAGTTGAGTGATTTAAGTCAGTTGGGCCTGATGCGACAGTGGTGTCATTTGATCTGGTTGGCCCAAATGAGACAGTTGTGTGAATTGAGCCTCTAATGGGCCAAATGAGACAGTTGTGTGATTTGAGCCAGTTGAGCCAAATGAGATATTTCTCTGATGTAAGCTGGTTAGGCTAAAATAAGACAATTTTGTCATTTGAGCTGACAAGGCCAAATGAGACATTTGTGTGCTTGGAGCCGGTTGGATGAAGTGAGACATTGTTGTTATTTGAGCTGGTTAGGTCAAATGAGTCAGTTCTGTGAGTTGAGCTGTTTGAATCAAATGAGACGGTGGTGTGATTTGAGTCGGTTAGACCAAATGAGACAGGTCTGTGATTTGAGCCAGTTGTGACATTTAATCAAGTTGGACCAAATGAGACAGTTGTGTGATTTAAGTCAGTTGGACCAAATGGGACAGTTGTGTTATTTGATCCAGTTGGCCCAAATGAGACAGTTGTGTGAATTGAGCCAATTAGGCCAAATGAGACAGTTGTGTCATTTAATTGGGTGCGGCCAAATGAGACAGTTGTGTGATTCAATCCGGTTGGGCCAAATGAGACAGTTGTGTGAATTCAGCCAGTTGGGCTAAATGAGACATTTGTGTTATCTGAGCCAGTTAGGCCAAATAAGTCATTTCTGTGATTTAACCCAGTTAGGCCAAATGAGACAGTTGTGCGATTTGAGCCAGTTGGGCCAGATGAGACAGTTGTGTGATTTGAGCCGGTTGGGCTAAATGAGACATTTGTGTCAATTTGATCCAATTGGGCCAAATGAGACAGTTGTGTGATTTGTGCTGGTGTGGCCAAATGAGACAGCTGTGTGATTTAAGTTGGTTGGGTCAAATGAGACTGTTGTGTCATTTGATCCGGTGGGCCCAAATGAGACAGTTGTGTGAATTGAGCCAGTTGGGCCAAATGAGACATTTGTGTTATGTGAGCCAACTAGGCCAAATAAGTCATTTTTCTGATTTGAGTCAGTTAGGCCAAATGAGACAGTTGCGCGATTTGAGCCAGTTACGTGAAATGAGTAATTTCGGGGAATTTACGTGGCCGTGAAATTCCTCGGCACTCGGCGTGTCCGAGTTCAGAAGGTGACGCGTCAAGAAACGTGACGTGTCGGAGAGTGCCATGTTCCTGATACGTACGTTTAGGCGTGTCAGGAAAA